CCCACTGACCATCAGGATGCGGTGCTGTTGCACAGAGAGTAGGTTCGAGACAAGGAGGCAGGAAGGCCCACGTGTGGGAGCCGTTGCAAGACAGTGTCCCTCTTGACCTTCACCTCAGGCCCTGCCTGGACTGCTGGCTTCGAGGCCAAGGTCAGAGACCATCTCAGGACATGGCCCTCTAAAGCCTGGGGAAGGGAGGCCCTACCTGGGTGTCTGCCTAACCAGTAGCTGTCCAGGGTCGCCTGGACAGACTTCCAGCCAAGGGAGAGCTGGCCGGAGGTGCTGGAGTACTGTGCGTCCCCTCCAGCATTTCTGTCCCCTGCAGTCGGGCTCAGTGGTCGTTGGGCAGCCTTTAGCCTGAGGTGGGTCACAGCAGGGCCCATGGACTAGAGGCGGTCTCCTGTTTGGAGGCCCCATCATTGTACCAGCCGTGCTAACATGTACCCAAAACAGAACCAAGTGTTGCCAATTGGTATAATGTGACATTTGGTAGTTATATCGTTAAGCATTCATTAATTTAGTTTTGTAGCATTTATATTTCAGGAGTGATTTTTTTTTTAGGTTTCAGATGTCCTCGTGGGCCCTGGGTGCTGTGCCGGGGGAGGTGAGGTGAAATGCTGGAATGTTGTTTCACCCTGAGGTGCAGCTGGTTATGGGCCTGAGGCCTTTTTGGTGTCAGCAAGCAGACCACCCTCCTCCCCTCACGGAGGGTCCCCTGAAGACACTGTTAGGGTACCAGCAGCAGGCGTTGGAGACAGAGCCTTCCCAGCACAGAGGGCCTTGGCGATGGCTGGATTCCAGTCACAGGCTCCCTGGAGAGCACCGAGCCCCAGAGTCCAGGCCTGTGATCTTCGCATCTGTGTGTTGCGGCGGGGGAGGCTGGGGGGATGACATACATGACTCTTCCTGCACATGTGAGAACCTTTGGTTCAGGCCTGTGCTGGCCCCACACCCCATGAAGCAGTGCCCACATGACCCCTCCAGGGTCATCTTTGATGTTGGGCTGGGACCTGGTGAGTCCCTGTGGCTGCCCAGAGGCCACAAGGCCTCTGCAGATGCCAGCCACTCACTCCCTTGGCCTCCAGCCTCATTAGCGGTAACTCTGCTGGCTTCTCTTCCCTAAAATAGGACCCTAGCCGGGAGAGAGTTCTGAAGTGGACTCAGTGTGCCCCCTCTCCTTGGCTGGATTTCAGATTCTAGGGTAGAGAACAGGGCACCCCAGGGACTGGCCCCCCTTCCTGTGAAAACGTGATGTTAGGGTAGCAGACTGCGGGTGCAGGGCCGGGGGGAGGGTGGGAGGAAGAGGCTGAGGCTGCCGCTGCCTGGGGTCTGAGAGCCTGGGGTCTGAGAGGCGTGGTTGGGAAGGTGATGTACCTGGTGGGCTCCCTGTGCTGGTGCGGGGGGGGGGGGGCCGGGGAGGCTGAGCCTGTCCGGGTGGGGTGGGGGCGTCGGGATGGGGTAAAGACGCGTCGTGTCTGAAACTCTAGACAGAAGCGTGTGGCCGCCCTGCCTGTTTTCCTCCCAAGACAGCCTAGTGTGGTGGGAACACTTTTCTTCCTACTGGATGAGGCTGTGCGCATGTGTGTGTATGTGCGTGTAGGTGTGCGTGCGTGTGCGTGTATTTCATTTACCCCATTAGCAGCCCCGTAACTGCCAGCTCCCTGCATACCCCCAAATATTCTCTGTCCCAAGTCAGTGCCCCTCTCCCTGACCAAACCTACAAGGGGCACCTCCAGAGAATGAAGCTGTTGGGCACCAGGGAGGCCATTCTGCTGATAATCTGGGTCTGAAGTAAAACCAGCTCAGCCCAGTCTAGCTTGTTAAGGCCAAAAGGTCCAATTCCGGGTGTTTGAGGACTTAAACCATACCGACACCTGCTGAAGTCTGTCCAAGAGCTGGAAACATGGCAAGAAGGGGCTCATTGGAGGAGAAGGATGCAGTGCTGTTTGTCTGGTTGCCCCTGCTTTTGTGAGTAGCTTAGAGGGTGGGGGGTCGAGAACAGCTTCTCAGCCATGAGAAAAAAAAGCCCTCATTTCAAGGATTTCCAGGCTGGAGGTTGCACTGGGCTAGCCAAGCTGGAAACATGGGCTGCTGCTGACCCCCACCCCCACCCCCGCCCCACTGTGCCCTCTCCTCCCCAGCCCAACAGAGGCTGCCTTAGAGAGCTTGGGCCCGGGGGTGAGAGCCGGAAGATGAGTTGTTCTGGACCAGAGGCTGGTCCCCACTTGCCTTGGGGGCCTGTCCCCATCCTTTACTCTGCTCCCATGCGTATATGCACGCGCACCACCCTGGTTGCCTCAGTATCTCTCCGGCAGCCCAGACTTCCTCCTGGGTCGGTGCTGGCTACAAGAAGACTGATCAGGGATAAGGATTAAAGCCACCAGCCCCTTGTGGCTCCTGAGTACTTGCAGTGTGGCTGGTCTGAATTGAAATGTGCTGGATTGAGAATCCACACCAAATACTGATATTTTCCCAAAAAAGGAAAATATCTCACTGATAACTTTCCATATCGATTACATGTTGAAACGATAACATTTTGGATACATTGGGGTAAACAAAATATATTATTAAAATTAATTTAATTTTTAAACTTTTTACAAAATGTGGCTACTAGAACAGTCTAAATTCCATATGCATCGCACATTGTACTTCTATTGGCTGGCCCTGGGTGAAAGAATTTGGGGGATGCGAAAGGTGTTCAAAGGGTAAAGGCCAAAGAGTCTGGAGAATGTGGGGTACCTATCCCCCTGCCCCCGCACCACCTCTAGACTAGTCTGGACAGGGTTCTCCAACTAGGATCCCTGGATGTAATCTCGGAGATCTGGCAGTCGGAGAATTTTTTTAATTTTCTGTTTTCAATTCAATGATCTTTAAAGAAAAGTCTTTGCAGATGATTTTGAGATAACTTTTTGTTCTAAGGTATTTTCAAAGTGTAAGGTTCTCCTTTCTAAAGTCAGCGTTTCTCAAACTGGAATCCTCAGGTGATATTGGCAGGAAATAAGAACCTTTTCCCCTCCCTTTAACAGTCCATACTCTCCTCAAGTTTGAGAATGTTCTCGGGGTTCCCCTTCATGCATGGGGATTTGTGATAATCTGGCCTCCCATTCCTCTGTCCTTCCGTACCACTTACCTCTCCCCTGTGCCCTCATCTTTTTTCCTCCCCAAGACCCAGGGAGGGGCAGCCCCTGGGGGAAACCCTGGGGGTTGGGGGAGGCTGAAACAGATGCCCCTTCTTCACCCTCCTTCCTGACATTTCAGGACCCGCCCCAACATGCCTACGGATACTAAGAGGTCCTCAGGCCTCGCTGACATTTAATGCAACTTCTGAACCTCAGACTCTGAGGATGTGTGAGGGCATGAGCTGCAGATGAGCTGGGCCGGCTTTGACTTAAAAGTCTCACCATCCAGAGGCTGTCAGCACCGAGGGAGCCGCCCCAGCGCCACCAGGGCCTGGATGAGACTGTTAGGCGCCCTAAGAACTGACAAGATTATTTACAATCGGCCACTCTATATAATGCAAAGTGAAACTGTTCGAACCCATAAAATGAGAACAAAGCGGTTCGTGAAAGTTCTAAGTGTTCGTGTGATGACTACTGTGATATACTTTTTGAAATATCAAGATGACGTTTTGTGTGTGTTTGTGTGTGTGTGTGTGTGAAGCACTTTGGGCCCACCCCGAATTCCTCCACACAGTCACCCTTCAGTCCTCGCTGGGAAGTGTCACTACTGAAGGGATGGTTAGGTGGAAACCAGAAGGGGAGGAGGGGTGTCTGTGAAGAAGGGAGACGGGAGGAAAGAGATGAGGGGTCTACCTCTTCCCACTGACCCCGAAAGCCCCTTCCACCCTTGCCTCCTTCCCGGCCATGGTCTGTTTTCCATGTGCCTCCTGACCGTGGAGGAGCTGGGGCCTCAGATGTCTGGGGTCCTCTCACTGCCTGTCTTGGCATGTGCAGCCCCACTCCCAGTGAGCTCTGAGCTAAGGCCTCTCGTGCCCTGTCCCCAGCCCTGCCCTCTCCCTTCCTGTCCAGCCTGGAGGCTGCCCACCGGAGAGAAGGCCTGAGGCCTGCACCTCTGTCCTTCCCCGTCCGTTTTCCACCACTCAGAGCGAAGAAGGGAACCCCTTTGCCTCAGCCCGGGGCAGCCAAGAGGTTGGGCTGGGAGGCTCATTAAAGCTTTTTAATAAGCAATTAACTCATGGGATGAGCCCTTTGGCTGGTCTGAACGCTCTCCTCCCAGCAGGGAGCCTGGCAGAGAAAGGCTGAGTGGGTGGGCAGAGGGGGTTCAGTCAGGAGCTTGGGGCCCCTTTCCGCACCCCCAAAACAAACGAATAAATAAACAGGACTTCAAGTGGGCAGAGGCTGGGGCCTGGGCTTCCTCCCATCCCCTCTCCCAGGAGGCCCAGGACTCCATCAGTTTCCGGTCAAGGCTGCAGCCAGGCTGGAGAGGCCCGGGCACTCAGTCCCTCTGAGTTGGCGGCCTATGGCGAGGGGTCCCTTTCTGGTGAGGTCCTCGTGCTCACAGAGTGTTGGAGACCCCGAGGAACAGCAGCTCCTCCCACCTGCTCCCACACCTGCCGGGCTGCTTGTTCCACCTGCCAGGGTCCTGACCAGTTCAGCTCATTCTCCCCACTACTGTCCTCAGGATGCTAGGCTGATGGCTTGAGCAAGACAGAGCAGTGGGGGCAGGAGGGGGGCGCTGTGGGCTCGGCCCCATGGGCTCGGCCCCGTGGTTCCAAGGTGCAAAGGGAGCATTTCATCTTCACACCTGCTCAGCGTGCCAGCATACAGAGCCCTGAGTCAGACCCAGGCTAGGGGGAGGCCCAGGGCAGATGAAATGCCTGAACCAGGGCTCAGTGAGCCAGCCAGCCTGTCCAAACATTCACTGGCTTCTCCCTGTGATCTCTTGGAGCAGATGGTGGGGTTGTTCTTTGCACAAATTCAGAGGGTGCCACTTATACAGAAGGCAACATTCTCCCATCTGTGTTCTCCCTGTTCCTTCAGGCTCTTGAGCAACAACAAGATCACTGGGCTCCGGAATGGATCCTTCCTGGGACTGTCCCTGCTGGAGAAATTGTAAGTGCTTGGGCAAGTTGGGGCGGAAGTCATGGGCAAGAGTTCAATCCAAGGAGAATGAGGAATATTGGCTGCTGAGGGACACCCCTCCCGGCAACCCAGAGCCTGCTGGCTAAGGAGGGCCCAGAGTCAGACTTGATCACCAATAGGAGGGCAGAGGGGCTGGTCTGGGAGAGAGCGACCAGCTCCCTCACCAGGGACGGCAGAGAGAAGTAGGGACACCTCGCTGGTCCAGGCGGGATGGGGCTACGGGAAGCTCATTAACGCTTTTTAATGAGGAATTATCTCGGAGGGTTGAGCCCCTTAACTGGCCAGCAGCTGCCTCCCCCTCCCAGCTGGGGGCCCAGCATAAAGGGCAGAGAGAGGATTTAGTGGGACTGAGGCCGCTTTCCTCCTTCCCTAAACACAATCAACAAACAAAGCACCAAAGGGCCAGAGCCCTGGGCTGAGGGTGGGGAGAGTGGATCATATCTGATTCTCCACCCCCCACCCTGCCCCACCACTGCCCTGGTATAGAGCTGCATCAGAGCTGCATCAGAACAGCATCTTCAGGCTGCCCTATGGGGCCCGGCAGGCTGGCGTGGGATTCAGGGCTGCAAGGGCCCTGCTGGCCCAAGAGAACTTCCTTCCCAGAGTTAGGGACCTGCCCTGGTCACGGGCAAGTCCGTGCCAAATGAGGGGTTTGAATCAACCCTTGTCGCAATTCCCAGTTCCGCTGGCGGCTCCCAGATCCACAGCCTGTTACAAAAGCTTTGGGTCTTGTCTCCTCCGTGGAACACCTGGGCCTCCTGCCCCTCCTGGAGCCCGATCCTTGCCCTCTCCCCCACCTCCAAGCCCCTCTCTCCTCCCTGGGCTCCCACCCTGCTGGGTGTTCACAAGGCCTCCAACAGGGCCCTGCCGCCTCTAGTGCCATTTTGCCTAAAAGTCTTGGATCAGAGCAATGGAGGATAGTAAAGAACAAGGCAGAAGCGCGCTCTTGAAGAGCCAAAGAAATTGCAGTCAGTGAGACCACACACTCCGCCGCGTGGATTAGAGTGAAGCAGGTTGGGGTTTCCGTAAAGTCCAAAGGAGGGATCAGCAAAGGCTGCACCGTCCAAGGGCAATAGGGATGCACTGTCCACACTCTCTGCCCGACACGGAGGGTAGATCTTTAGCCAGGACAACAAGCTTATGAGTTCTGCTCTATCACACCTACTTCACAGGGAAAGGGAAGGCCTCTTCCCCCTCCCCCGGGGCTGTGAGGAAAGCTTGACGGCCTGGCTGGGTTAGTAGGGGTGGAAAGGGGCCAACCCGCACTTGGGATGGAAAGGCAGAGTGGGCTCTGTGTGATCGGGGCGTGTTGAGGGTGGGAGGCGTCCGGTTTGTTGTCCGTGGTGTATGTACAGCCGCGACCAGGTCCCTCTGCCCGTCTGCTCAGACAGGGAGAAAGGGCTGCCACCAAGCTGCTATTTAAGGCCCCTTCGGTACCAAGAAATAGGGAAAGATTTTATCTCCCACGAGCAGCTAAGCATCCGGGAGCTGTGATTCCTACACTTAGCCCAGGCTTGGTCTTAGAGGGCCAAATGGCCGGAAACCAGACTCTCCTTCCAGGGATGTTTTGGAGAAAGACAAACCACAGCTGCCTGCCGCCCTTTGCCCCAGCCGACCAGGGCCAGTCACCGGCCAGAGTCCGTCTCCCGAAACCTTAGCACAAGCGAGAGCTGCCGGGAGCCTCTTGAGGCCTCACAGGCATCTTCCCATCTTTGCCCTTTCACCTCATCAGCGAGGGACCTGCTAATTCTGCCCTCTTGTCCTCGTCCTTCAATCTCATGAGGGTAGATTTTCCCACGATGATGAGGAGAAGGCCCTTTCCTTCCCACCACTGCAAACCTACCCACCCGGACTCCTGTCTACAGCACTGGGACCCGGGTCACCGCCCAGCAGGTGCATTCAGACCATGGGAAGCAAGCAGAGAAAAGTGAGAGGCAAGCTGGGAACAATGACTAAGTGCTTAGAAAGGGCACTGGAGTGAGAGTTCAAAGTCGTGAGTTGGAGCCCCTGACCTGGTAGGTAGGAATTGTCTGGTAATGTGCTGCAGAGATGTTCCCTGAGCTCCGTGTGTGCTGAACAGGCAGACCAAGTGTGAGCTCCGTGTGTGTGAACAGGCAGAGCGAGTGCCCGCCCCCGTGGAACTTACCCTCCACTGACG